AGATAGATAGATAGATAGATAGATAGATGTAGGTAGGTAGGTAGGTAGGTAGGTAGGTAGATATAGACAGGTTGTAAAGTTGGGTCAGTCACATGACTAGCTTTGCAACCTTAATTACCAGGCTCAGTTATGGCCGTACGTTGAGGACTGTGCCTTAAGTGAATTCGGGTCTGAGAGTCTGAATCTCCACCACAACTGCTAAACAAAACGTGAAGCAAAGGACGAGGGTGGCGCAGCTGGCGAAGGCGAAGCGGGAGTGGCCATCCTTACCTGCTCGGTCCCCGCAGGTCTCCTCATGAACTTGGTTATCGACATGCTTTGCGTTGACTTCCGTTTTGCGGAGACTGGGGGGGTCTGGGCTGCCGCCCCTCCTCCTTGCAAACCGCCCGCTTCTTCCCTGGCCACGGACGGAAGCTGGGTATTGTAGTTCCACTGACAGGGCACGGGCAGGTGCTCCTGGCCAAAGTTCTTCAGGACCTCGGAGTGGACGTACCAACACATCCGATACTCGGGCCTCTTCTCGTAGACGGAGTTCTCGGAGATGATCCTCTTCAGCCTGGCTTTGGAAGGGAGGGCGTTCTCCCAGGCCGGAGTCTGCCCTTGGGAGACCTTGGGGCTGGCATCTCCGCTGCCCAGGGAGGGGTCCGGACTGCTGGGCTCCGACAGCAACCCCAAGCGGCAACATTCCTGGAACTCCCGAATGATGACTTTGCTTCCGTTCACGTTGCCGTGGAGTAGCGGGAGCAGCTGGGCCAGAACTGCAATGGGGCGAAAAGCAGAATCTTAAGTCACACCGAGGGCGTCCCTGGTTGCTGGAGCCCTACAAGCCTCACTGGCCTTTATGGGAAATAGTTTGGGTTTTTAAAAGAGGCATTCTGGGACAGCCCAGGAAGAGAGCCAAGGGCTTCCTCTCAACCACACTCACTTTTACATGTGTAGATTCCTTCCTTCCCTCGTTTCTTTCTTTTTTTCTTTCTTTCCCATCCATTATCTGTCTATCTACTTATCTACCTACCTCTATCTATCTATCTATCTATCTATCTATCTATCTATCTATCTATCTATCTATCTATCTATCTATCTATCTATCTATCTATCTATCTACCTACCTACCTACCTCTATCTATCTATCTATCTATCTATCTATCTATCTATCTATCTATCTATCTATCTATCTATCTATCTATCATCTATCTATCTATCTATCTATATCATCTATCTAATCTATCTATTTCTATCTATCTAATCTAATATCTATCTATCTCTCATCTGTCTATTTACCTCTATACCTCTATCTTCTCTATCTCTATCTCTATCTCTATCTCCTCTATCTGTCTATCTGTCTGTCTGTCTGTCTGTCTGTCTGTCTGTCTATCTATCTACCTTCATCCATCTATCTATCTATCTATCTATCTATCTATCTATCTATCTATCTATCTATCTATCTATCTAATCTAATCTATCTATATCTCTATCTAATCTATATATTTCTATCTATCTAATCTAATATCTATCTCTCATCTGTCTATTTACCTCTATACCTCTATCTTCTCTATCTCTGTCTATCTATCTCTATCTCTCTATCTCTATCATCTATCTCTCTGTCTCTATCATCTCTATCTATCTATCTGTCTGTCTGTCTATCTATCTATCTAAATTAACAAAATAACGTGGCTGAGAAATTCTGGGAGTTGAAGTCCACAAGTCATAAAAGGGCCAAGTTTGAAGGCCCTTGCCCTAGGGTCACGTGATCAAAATCCAGGCACTTGGCAACTGGTTCGTATTTATGAAGGTCGCAGCGTCCCGGGGTCACGTGACCCCCTTTTGCGACCTTCTGACAAGCAAAGTCAACGGGGGAAGCCGGATTCATTGAACGAACGAGTTAACAACCTGTTAACCACCACAGTGATTCGCTTCACAATTGTCGTAAAATGGGACAGAACTCACTTCAGGACTGACTTGCTTAGGAACAGAAATTTTGGGCTCCATTGTGGTCGTTAAGTCCAGGACTGCCTGTATTGATATTGTGAAACTGATGGCTACTTTAGACCTTCTCTTTGACGTCAGGAAGTAAAATTGTAAGTCAACGTAAGAAACCAAAATGAACAATGTCTTATCCAGTCTTATCTTTAAGAAGAGACTGGACAGCCATTTGTCTGAAATGGTAATAGGGTTTCCTGCCTGAGCAGGGGGTTGGACTAGATGACCTCCAAGGTCCCTTCCAACTTTATTATTATTATTATTATTATTATTATTATTATTATTATTATTATTATTATTATTATTATTATTATGGATCATCGCACAGTCAGCCAGATGTTCAGACTGGATTTGGCATTTTTGTCTACCTATTGAGTCCTTCCCAAGGACCTGGGATGGGCAGATGTGGATGTTTGATGGTATTACAGATCTCATCGCAAGATGGAAGCAGTTCCTAGTAAGGCCGCCTTTTGCAATTGACTAATGGCGAATTTGTCAATGCCAACAGTGTTCAAGTGGTGCTCCAGTTGTTTTGGGATTGCACCCAAGGCGCCTATTACTATTGGTACTACCCTTGCTTGCTTTTGCCACAGTCTTTCTATTTCTATTTGTAGGTCTTTGTATTTTGTGATCTTCTCCAGTTCTTTCTCGTCTATTCTGCTGTCTCCAGGCTCTGCCACGTCCACTATCCAGACTTTTTTGTCTTTTTTATCGACAATTGTTAAGTCTGGGGTGTTATGTTACAGGTGCTTGTCTGTTTGAATTATTATTATTATTATTATTATTATTATTATTATTATTATTATTATTATTATTATTATTATTATTATTATTATTTATTATCACTGCACTTTCCACAAAGGACCCCCTGTTCTGGACAGGAAACGCCATCCTTTGTTCCCTCCCACCCGCCCGCTTACTTTGCTGGTCTTTTGTCTTCTTTTTGTTGCTTTTCTCGATCAAGTCTTCCTCGGCAAAGCTGGTCTCCAGGAAAGAAGCTCCAAACTGCTGCAGGACTCCCAGTTCTGCGGTGGTGACGGCGCTGCTCGGCTTGCCTTCCCAAACGCAGCCGATCTTCACCGGCTGCAAGACGCGGAACCTCTTCCGCTTGGTGATCAGCTCGTCCCACTCCTTGGCTTTCAGCTTTTGGCGAGCTTTGTGGTTTTCGGGATCACGTTCCTGGATAGGGAGGGAGGGGAGAGGTGAGTTGACTCCCCGGTTGGGAGAGTGAAGAGGCGGAACGTTGCGGCACCAGACTCGCGAAACAATAAAAGGTTTAAATCCACAACTTAATACGTGCTAAAGATTAAACTAAAGATTCAGCCAGCCTCCTCTAGCAGGTTATGGACATTCTCAGTCCTCCAGGTCATGGCTGTCCCAAAGGTGCTTTTTCTCCAAAGGCAACCAGGCTTTGCTTTGCCTCGCTTTGTGACCTTTTTTTTGCCACAGTGGTTAAGTGAATCAGCGCTGTGTCAACGCTGCTAACATCGGATGTTTCGCATTGACAACAGATGGAAATGTAGCCATCTTTTACCTTTTGCTTTTAGAGTTAGATGATGCTGGGAGGGTGTGTGTGTGTGTGAATGAGAGTCCAGCTAGACATAACAACACTGAACCTAGCGTGAGAATCAAGGTTATTGACATCAGAGCTGATAAAAAATTGGCAGGCTGGAGAGCTGGAGAGGAAGCCCATGCTTCAAACTAATTGGGGAATGTGATTTATGACTGTTAATTGGAGGAAGGAATTGTGTTTTGATTCTATGTGCCCTGGGGAGGGGAATTCAGTTTTTGGCTTCGATTATGCAGTGCCGATATTATGCTACTCAAATAAAAGATCCTTTAAGGTAAACAACGCCTCGAAGTTCTTTCGAAGAGTTTCATCTGTCTGAACCATGATATGTAGTTGTTAAGTTAGTCACATGGTTGTTAAGTAAAACTGGCTTCCCCGTTGACTTTGCTTGTCAGAAGGTCGCAAAAGGGGATCACGTGACCCCCGGGGACGCTGCGACCGTCATAAACATGGAGCCAGTTGCCAAGCGTTTGAATTTTGATCACGTGACCCTGGATAACAGTCGTGTGAAAAATGGTCATTAATTCCCCTTTTATTTCAGTGCCATTGTAATTTTGAACAGTCACTAACTGAACTGTTGTTAAGTTGAGGACTACCTATAATATTAGCCCCACGCACCCACAATAATGGTTGTGTGTGTGTATGTATGTATGTATGTATGTATGTATGTATGTATGTATGTATGTATATGTGTGTGTGTGTATATATATATATAACACAAACACACACTGGGCAAAATCCTATCATGTATCTGAGGCATGTGATCCACTAAAGCTTATGATTGATTTTTTTAAATCTTAATTGTATCCCTTGAGTCAAGTAGGGAAGCCCAATATATCTTCCTAAATAAGTGAGCTCTTAACTTTGGGTTGCAGCTTTTTGACAGAGGTCAATCCTGAGGGAGGAAAGCTATGGCAAATCTAGACAGCATACTAAAAAGCAGAGACATCACCCTGCCAACAAAAGTGCGTATAGTCAAGGCCATGGTTTTCCCAGTTGCAATGGATGGCTGTGAAAGTTGGACCACAAGAAAGGCTGAGCGCCAAAGAATGGAGGCCTTTGAACTCTGGTGCTGGAGAAGACTCCTGCGAGTCCCCTGGACTGCAAGGCGGTCAAACCGGTCAGTCCTGGAGGAGATCAACCCCGACTGCTCTTTAGAAGGCCAGATCCTGAAGTGGAAACTCAAGTCCTTTGGCCACCTAATGAGAAGGAAAAACTCACTGGAGAAGAGCCTGATGCTGGGAAAGATGGAGGGCAATAGAAGAAGGGGACGACAGAGAATGAGGTGGCTGGATGGAGTCACTGAAGCAGGAGGCGTGAGCTTAAATGGACTCCAGAAGATGGCAGAGGACAGGAAGGCCTGAAGGAACGTTGTCCATGGGGTCGCGATGGGTCGGACACAACTTCGCAACTAACAACAACAATAATCCTGAGGACTAGTACATTATCACCAGTAGATCAACCTCGACTAAATAGCTCATTTTTCCAGCCTCTTAGCCTTAGGAAAATCCCCCCCTTTTCTTGGGGACTTACTTCAATCACACCTTCGTCCTCCGAAAGGTATCCATGGGGAACAAAAAACCCATCGTCCTCATCTTCCTCTTCTCCTCCATCTTCTTCCTCATCCTGAACGACAGGAAAACAGGGACAGATTACCAAGCAGCTTTGGAAAAGCATCATTTTCTAACAAACAACTTAAATTGGGAAGGGAAAGGAATCTCTCTGTTGTGTCAAGAGAATTGTGGGTATTTGCCGTTTTTTGAAAGATATGCACCTCTCCCATTTAAGGACGCTCCTTTCCCCCTTCTCTCCTCCCCACCCTCCCCTCTCTTCAAGAGGTCTGTGCCGGCCTTCAGGCATATTAGAGCTTGAAGGACAGAGAAGAAACTGGACAGCCATTTGTCCGAAATGGTATAGGGTTTCCTGCCTGAGCAGGGGGTTGGACTAGATGACCTCCAAGGTCCCTTCCAACTTTATCATTTTATTTTTTTATTTCCAACTTCTATGCCGCCCTTCTCCCCACGGGACTCATTATTATTATTGTTATTAGATAGGTTCAAATTACGAGACAGCAGCAGTTGGAAAATCACAAATCAGAACTGGTTTGATTTGTGTGTGTTTTTCACACACACACACCCCCCCCCAGATATAATAGATCTTGATGCCAGGTCCACATTAACCATGCTGGAGAATCAGTTAAGGCCTTAGGCTAGAAACCAGGAGGCTGTGAGTTCGAGTCCTGCCGTAGGTACTAAACCAGCTGGGCGACCAGTCCCTTTCTCTCAGCCCTAGGAAGGAAGCAATGGCAAGCCACTTCTATAAAAAAAACCTTGCTGAGAAAAATGCAGGAACTTCACCAGCTGTCTCCGGTAACTGGACACAACTGAATGTAAGAAATCTTTCTGGCTATCACTGTTAGACATTGCTCCAATCATCTCCTTCCAGAGCAGACCTGGGCATTTTATAGCCCCCGGGCCACATCCGGCCCTTGGGCTGTCCCTCTCCAGCTCATTTGAGGTCAATAAGTAAATAAGTACTCCATGCACGCAATACAGCTGCATTGTTTTTATTTCAAAGGCAACTATTTTTTTTCCAATTTGTTTGTGAATCTGTGCTCACGGTACTCTGTCTATCTGTCCGTCAGTCCACCCATCCCCTTTTTACAACTTCAGGTTAGAGTCAGGGTGACTGGATAGAGCTGAGTATTTACTGGCCGGATATCCTTCCTGATGCCACACGGAGTTCGCAGCAGGTGTTTTTTCTTTGTGCCTTAGGAGAGAAATCTAGGTACTACCTAGGATTGAACTCTTGACCTTCCAAGTGGGAGGCAAGTGTCTTCACCGCTAGGCCACCACACTGCTCATACCTATCTATCCATCCGTCCATTATCTTTCTCTATCTATCTGTCTGTCCGTCCATCCATCTCTATCTATTATCTTTCTTTCTCCTTCTTTCTTTATCTCCATCCATCCATCCATCCATCTATCCATCCATCTATCATCTATCTATCTATCTATCTATCTATCTATCTATCTATCTATCTATCTATCTATCTATCTATCGTCTGTCTGTCTATCTCTATCCATCCATCTATCTATCCATCCATTATTATCTTTCTTTCTCTATCTTGTATCTATCTATCTATCTATCTATCTATCTATCTATCTATCTATCTATCTATCTATCTATCTATCTATCTATCATCTATATCTATCTATCTCGACCCATCCATCCATCTCTATCTATCTATCTATCTATCTATCTATCTATCTATCTATCTATCTATCTATCTATCTATCTATCATCTATCATCTATCTTTCTTTCTTTTTCTTTCTTCTTTCTTTATCTATCTCTATCCATCCATCCATTATCTATCATCTATCTATCTATCTATCTTTTTCTCTTTCTTCTTTCTTTATCTATCTCTATCCATCCATCCATCCATCTATTATCTATCTGTCTGTCTGTCTGTCTGTCCGTCCATCCATCTCTATCCATTATATTTCTTTCTTTCTTTCTTTCTCTATCTCTATCCATCCATCCATCCATCCATTATCTATCTATCTATCTATCTATCTATCTATCTATCTATCCATCCATCCATCTCTATCCATTATCTTTATCTATCTATCTATCTATCTATCTATCTATCTATCTATCTATCCATCCATCCATCCATCCATCTCTATCCATTATCTTTATCTATCTATCTATCTATCTATCTATCTATCTATCTATCTATCTATCTATCTATCTATCTATCTATCTATCTATCTATCTATCTATCTCTTTCTTTTTCTTTCTTTCTTTCTTTCTCTATCTCTATCCATCCATCCATTCTTTCTTTCTCTATCTTGTTATCTATCTTGTATCCATCCATCCATCTAATTATCCGCTCATCTCCCTGACAGAGAGAGTCTGTGTGGGTCCTATTGGTTTGCCCCCCCCCAACAGTCTGTTTCTGATGTGGCCCCTTGGGAAGATTAATTGCCCACCCCTGTCCCAGAACATCAAGACAGGGGAGCTGTGGATGGCCAATTTCCGTGTTTGATTCCAAATGTTGTCTTCAACGTTTCAATCACAAAACGTAGGGTGGTGATTTCCTCTCCCCAAGAGTTTTCTTCTCTTCGAAGGAGAGGCCCTTTTCTGCTTAGAGAAAAGGCTTAGACTTACCCCTTCGCTGTGAGAGAGGGACTCGCCCGGCTCCTCCTCCTCCCACTCTTCATCGCTCTCCACTTCATAGTCCAGCAGCTTCTGCAGGGAAAGAAGCAAGACAGTGGAAGCTCAGCAAGAGGGCTTCAAGGGCTGGGCAAAGGGGGTGGGGAGAGACGTTGGCTGAAAACAAGATTAACGACAAAGCAGAAACACAGAAGAGCTGAAAAGGATCCTAGAAGCCAGTGAACCCCAATATCCGAGGGGCTGCCACAAAAAAGAAGGGAGGTCCACCTATTCTCCAAAGCGCCTGAAGGCAGGACAAGAAACAATGGATGGAAACTAACCAACCTGGAACTAAAGAGAAACTTCCTGACAGTTAGAACAATTAACCAGTGGAACAACCTGCCTCCAGAAATTGTGGTTGCTCCATTAGCGGAGGCTTTTAAGAAGACGCCAGAGAACCATTCGTCTGAAACGGTGTAGGGCAGTGGTGGCGAACCTATGGCACGGGTGCCAGAGGCGGCACTCTGTGGGCACGCGCGCCGTCGCCCCAGTCCTAGGCCTTCAGCTGGGTTTTATAAAACCTTTTCGCTTTAGGCCTCCGCCGCTGTGTGCAAAAAAAAAAAGGTTCAATCAATCAGTCAATTTCAACTTCTCGCGGGGAAAAAAAAGATCTTGCAAAGTTGGAATTGATTGAACTTTTTAGTCCCACCCAGTCTGCCGTTACCACTGCAGCCACGCCCACCCAATGGGCCACACCCACCATGCCCACCCGGCACCCGACAATACGTAAGTGGGTTTTGGGTTGCAGTTTGGGCACTCGGTCTCTAAACGGTTTACCATCACTGGTATAGGGTTTCCTACCTTGAGTAGGGGGTTGGACTAGATCAGTGTTTCTCAACCTTGGCAATTTTAAGGCATGTGGACTTCAACTCCCAGAATTCCACAGCCAGCATTGCTGGCTGTGGAATTCTGGGAGTTGAAGTCCACATGCCTTAAAATTGTCAAGGTTGAGAAACACTGGACTAGATGACCCCCAAGGTCCCTTCCAACTCTGTTTATTGTTATTCAATCTGCTTGCTATAGTGCAAGATTCCCAGACCGGGGTTCTCCAAACTTAGCAACTTTAAAGACTTGTGCACTTCAACTCCCAGAATTCCCCAGCCAGCTTGGGATGCTTTCTTTCCACGTTAAGATTTATTCTCCTTCCACTGAGATCCCCTTGGCGATATTTTACCTGATGCTACACATCCTCACTGCTGCTAGATTGGCGTCTGCACAAAGTTGGAGGAATGAAGGAACCCCAACAGAGGAAGAGATACTATTATAAAATATTATCGTGTGCCGACATGGACAGGCTCACAATGGAAATGAAGGACAAGACTGAATCAGACTACTTCGAAATTCTGGGACATATTCTACTATTGGTGTGAATCAAGGAGGACTGGACTGTCTGGGTTATAGTCTAGTGCAGTGATGGCAAACCTTTTAGAGACCAAGTGCCCAAACTGCAACCCAAAACCCACTTATGCATTGTTTGGTGCCGGGTGGGTGTGGCCCATTGGGTAGGCGTGGCTGTGGTGGTAATGGCAGACTGGATGGGACTAAAAAGTTCAATCAATCAATTCCAACTTTGCAAGATCTTTTTTTTTCCTGCGAGAAGCTGAAATTGACTGATTGATTGAACCCTTTTTTTTTTTCTACACGGCAGCGGAGACCTAAAGCGAAAAGGTTTTATAAAACCCAGTTGAAGGCCTAGGACTGGGGCGACGGCGCACGTGCCCATAGAGAGGGCTCTGAGTGCCGCCTCTGGCACCAGTGCCATAGGTTCGCCACCACTGGTCTAGTGTTAAGATAGAAATACATATAATTTTAGGTTAGTAAATAGAGAAATAAATTAGATATTGTATAGAAAAATATACATGTGTATATAGAGATAAAGAATTATATGTAAGAAGAGGAACCAATTGTTAGAAATACTTACACTGGAATGTTACGTTATGTCCTTTTTTTTTTAAACTGTATTATAAATTAAAAACTTAGAAAAAAAACAAAAAAAACCATTGATATCCCCTTGGTCCCAGCAGCCTTTTAACCTGTTTGAAGAATATAAGGCAGGGGTAGGCAAGCTTGGCTCTTTTATGACTCGTGGACTTTAACTCCCAGAATTCCTGAGCCAGTATGGCTCAGCTTGGAAACCTCTCTTTTCCCTCAGCATGGCTGGCTCAGGAATTCTGGGAGTTGAAGTCCACTAGTCCTAAAAGAGCCAAGGTTGCCTACCCCTGATCTAGGTCGGTCTGTCTGTCTGTCTGTCTGTCTGTCTGTCTGTCTGTCTGTCTGTCTGTCTGTCTACCTACCTACCTACCTACCTACCTACCTATCTATCTTCTAGGTCAGGGATAGGCAACCTTGGCTCTTTTATGACTCGTGGACTTCAACTCCCAGAATTCCTGAGCTCAGCTTGGAAACCTCTCCCTTTCCCCTCAGCAAGGCTGGCTCAGGAATTCTGGGAGTTGAAATCCACGGGTCCTAAAAGAGCCGAGGTTGCCTACCCCTGCCCTAAGGGATGTAATGTTCTGAGCTTACCATATCTTTAGCCCAAGGGTTTCTGGGCCTTATTGAGGAAGACCTCTTGTTCCACGTGCCCCAGTAGGCAGGCCGATGATTCTCACAGAACTGCAGTAGCTTCATTCTTCCAAATTTCTTCCTTTCAGGCACATCTTCTGCCTGGCTGCTACCCACAATGACGACATCGCTGTTGAACCGAAAAACAGTGTGTTCAGTCTTGGATGTTGCCCACCGGGGTTCCAGTCGGAGGGAGAAGGGGGCAAGGGGGGAGGGGAGAGGGGAGCTGAAAGTCACCCTTGTGCTCCATTAAAACCAAGTTCCTAATTAGTGCTGCCGTATTTCCCTGAAAATAAGACCCAGCCGGAAAATAAACCCCAGCATGATTTTTTCAGGACGCTCGTAATATAAGCCCCACCCCAAAAATAAAGCCCCAGTTAAGATCGTCAGCCAGACGGACGCATTTAGTATCGTATTTTCCCCAAATATAAGCCCTAATTGGAAAATAAGCCCTAATGCAGACATGTCAAACACAAGGACCGCGAAGTGGTTCCATGTGGCCCGCGAAGCCATCCTGGAAACAGTGAGGGAACGGCCCCCTCTGCCTTGGCCCTGGCCCAGGCCGGCCGGGAGCCAATGTACAATTTTGTGGTGGCCATCTTGGCACTTGCCCTGGTGGACCATGCCTTGGCACTTGCCCCAGTCCCACCCTCTTCTGCCGGAGACCCTCAGATCTGTCCCACTCCCGCCCAAGCCCCCATAGGCACCCTTGACGCGAATGATGTAGACCTAGCCACACCCACCCAGTAGGCCACATCCACGCCCACCCAGTAGGCTGTACCCATTCTGGCCACACCCACCCGGCCCCTCAAGGGCAACCGCAATGCTGATGCGGCCCTCAGTGAAATTGAGTTTGACACCCCTGCCCTAATGTGTATTTTTGGAGCAAAAATGAATATAAGACCCGGTCTTATTTTTCAGAGAAACACAATATGATAATAATGCTTGACTAACAAGAAAATGACTTTTGTCCATTTCTTTAGAGAGGCTCCAATTAAAATTGAAATGGTGAATATCACAGATTAAAAAAAGAGAGAGCGAAGGTTAAGGAAACTGTGTCCTGCAAAGCGCTCCAGATCAAAGAGAAATGGGGAAGGGGAGGGAGACCACTGAGAGGGGAGGAGAACTGAAGCTTTCTATACTAGAACAGGGCTTTTCAACCAGTGGTATGGGTACCACCTGTGGTACATTGGCACCTGGCAGGGGGTACGCAGCCATCCTAGAAAAGTGGTAGCAGGGGAGGGGAACGAGCTGAACCGGTGGCAGCACTGCACAAGCCTGAGCGAGAGACAGCTGGAGCTGCAGGGCTGCCAGGGCTCAGTGGAAATGCCAGGATCAGCGCCAGGCTCCAGCTGGAGCTCGGCGCTGATCCTGGTGCTTCTGCTGAGCTCAGAAGAAGCATCGATCAGCCGGAATGTTGCAGCCTCTCCAGGGTCTTGTGATTTACATTCAGATGCTTGGCAACTGATTCATATTTATGACGGTCACAGTGTCCCAGGGTCATGTGAAGTGACCAAAACCTGCTGCAACCACCCAGCAGATGGGAGGAATAAAAACCAAACACCCCCCCACCCCACCCCCACTGCCAATCCTCAACAGAAATGCTTGCAACAATGAAAACCTCGGACAGGAGGAAGAGCGCGGGCGGGCGGGCGGGCGGGCAGGTGTCTTGCTCGGCTGTGGCTCGGGGGGGGGGCGCTTTTTCCAGTGCCATTGTAACTTTGAACAGTCACTAAGCAAACTGTTGTAAGTCAAGGACTACCTGTACTTTATCACTTTTTTCCCCCTTTTTTTTTTTGGTCATCAAGTTTTTGACCCCTTGCTACGCAACTGGTGGTACTCGGATGCTGCCATATCCTAAAAGTGGTACAATGGGTGAAAAGGTTGAAAAGCCCTGCCGTAAACCGCTCAGAGAGGGCTGTAAAGCACTGTGAAGCGGTATATAAGTCTAAGTGCTACTGCTATTCATTTGTGTCAGGTTAGAGAAGCCGTGATGCTCCAAAGGGAGAAGGCGGCAGGTCTCCTGGCTGGCCTGTCCACCCGAAGCATCAGGGCCTGGGGTGGAATCAGCAACTGAACTCGGGGGTGGAGTTAAGAGAGTGGCTGGCATGGAGTCCCTTTGAGGAGGAAGCGATGGAGACCTCGCCCTCCTTAAATCCCAGGAGCGCTTATCTGGTGGCGCAGAGAAGCCGGGGTTAGAATGCAGCATTGCAGGCTGACTCTGCCCGCTGCCAGCAGTTTGATCCTGACCGGCTCAAGGTGGACTCAGCCTTCTCTCCTTCCGAGGTGGATAAAATGAGGACCCAGATTGTTGTGGGGGCAACAATAGGCTGACTTAGTAAACTATTTAGAGAGGGCTGTAAAGCACTGTGAAGCAGTATATAAGTCTATTTGCTATTGCTATTACCCTCCCTCCCTCCCTCCCTCCCTTCCTTCCCTCCCTCCCTCCCAGTGGTT